TCCTGTTGCGGAACCCCATTTGCATAAATACTAAGGTAAATACGACCACTTACTGAGTCCTGCCTTAAATCAAAAAGTATTATAGCAAATTTTAAGTGTTGGGCTCACAGTATTAATCTGTCAAGTATTAAAAAAAAATTGAACACCTACTTGTACATGAGAGTGACAAACAGTAATGGATTTAATGTTGAGTCTGCCTTCAAATAATGTACATTCAAGGAGAGAAGATAACATAGGCATACAAAAAAATAATGATAGTGTATCACATAGTGTGAAGTAAAAAACCAAAGAAAAGTACAGGTTATTCTAAGAGTACAAAGGAGTGACATTTGAGCTGTACTGTGATGTGGTATAGAATTTCATCTGGGAGAAGTTAAGGAACAGGAGCTTTGAAAGGATAAGCTATGTTCAGAAAATGAAAATAAAATTATTTTGTTTGGATAATAGGGTACATAATATTTTATGTAGGTAAAAGTGTAGAAAGATATGTTTGTGACCAGATTATAAAAGATATCAAATCTCATTGTTTTATTTAGGCAACAGGAAGCACTGCATGGCATTTGACTGTTCAAAACTAGTGAGGACAATAGCTCAGGCAATTATGTATGGAATGAAAGAAGCAAGGATTAACGGGGCTATGAAGACTTAAATAGTTTAGCCACAAGTTCTAGTAAAGGTCTGAGGAAGTGTCATGGCACTGAGAATGATGTGTGCCTATTCCAGAAACTAGAGAATTGTGGGTATTGGAATCTATGGTGGGAAGTGTGGAGGGACCTGGGGAAAGGAGAAGAGAAAGTGGTTCTCATCGCCATGAGAAGGGTGGTGCTGAGGCAGAGAAAAGAGAAGAGTAGACAGGGGAAAGGGTAGGAAGCTTGGGGCAGTGATGAAAGTTTGGGTTTGGACATACTGAGCTTGAGATGAAAGAAGAATAGGTCCATATGGAGAAGTCCAGCAATCAGTCTGAGGATAGAGATGTCAACTTAGGAGTCATTCACAGGAAGGTCAATAGTTGGTATTTGTGAAGAATGGCTTTACCAAGAGTTAGCACAGATAAATAGAAAAAAAAACTGAGACTAGGGCTCCGGGGAGATCTCCATTAAGGGACCTGGAAGAGTAAAAGCGGGGTGGTCTACGTAAATAATCCAAGGATTTTTTAAAAATTCTCAGATAGTAACTTCTTGAAAGGCTGATATCATCCATTCTTTCAACAAATACGTACATACTTACCAGCACTGTTGTAGAGTATGAAACTACTGCACATTCTGTATAATTCAGATTTTTGTTTGAATAAGACCAAGTCCTTGCTTTTCTGCAGCATACATTTTACTAGGGAAAAGGTTAAGAGACTGATAATTAGCAAGTAAACAAACTTGGACAATTAGAAATTAATGTAAGCAGTATGAAGAAAACAAAAGCAGGAGGGTGTAACAGAGAGGGAATGCTATTTCTCCAATGCTTTCATGATGTTGATCCTTACAGACAAGGAAATTAAAAAATCAGTCATTTGGTCTAGTTTACGATGAAGTTCTGCATGGAATTGAAACTTTTCTCCTCATCTACCCACCATCCATGTTACCAACCTTTTCCTCCCTTGCCAATATTCTCTTTTTTTTTCTTCTTTTTTTAAATTGATTTGTGAGATAGATATCAATTGGTTGCCTTCCATATGTGCCCTGACTGGGAATCAAACCTTCGACCTTCCAGTGCACAGGAACGACACTCCAACCAACACCGCCAGGGCTCTCTTTTACCAATATATAGTCAAGGCATATTCCATAAAACTTAGCATAAGTTGTTCAGAAAAGGTATAATTATTTGAATCTTAAACATGAGAAATAGTAATTTATAAAAGTAAAAGGCTATGTGGAGATATGTTTGTGTTGAAGTTTGATGAGCTTAATCTAATTTACTTACATGGTTGAAATAAATTACTATGTTTATGCAAGCCACTGGGAACCAAAATTTGACTGTTGGCTAATTTTCCCATGTGCCCTGAATTTTTTAAAAGGTAACAACTGTAATACCAGAAATATTGATCTTACTATCTCCCTATTACTAAGTCTTCCCATAAAGTCTTCGGAAGACTTCTTGATAGCTTTGCTTTTTCCAAAATGGCTTTCTAACTTAAATATACAACTTCTAGGTCTGCTATTTAGAGAGAATTTGTGTTTAAATGCATTTACAATTACAATTTAGTAACATCGTAAAAATTGAAGTATTTTATTTGAGGTAGATATATCCATTTCTATGCAAAGGAACATAGACTTTCTGGCCTCTTGCAATTTAATTAGTGCTGTCTTATTTTTTAAAAATGAAATGTTTGATGATTGTGATTTCTGGAATTTTGCTTTACATGAGACTGTCCCAACATCTGACTTTTTTAGCATATTACACTGTCTTTAAAACCAATTCTGAGACTCCTTATATAACATAATTTGGGCCCCTTTAAATGCATTAGAGCTCTAAGCTTATTCAGAGCAAGGTTATTTCTGTTGGATGATTCTCTGCACCCACTAGTCATTTTCCTTTTTAAAATATTTGACCATAATATGTTCATGTAAGTTGACTTGTCTGCTTTAAGTTAAATGCTGAAATGTGAGGATGATTTATTATGACCATTGTAAGAATAGGATTATCTTAGAGAAGACCTTTAGGGGACCCTTAGTGCCTAGATTAAAGAGACTTTTTAAATATTTAATGGTTAATTTAGGTCAACTTGAATGAATTTCTGTCACTTTTTAAAATATATATTTTATTGATTTTTTTTCAGAGAGGAAGGGAGAGGGATAGAGAGCTAGAAACATAAATGAGAGAGAAAATTGATCAGCTGCCTCCTGTCCGCCCCCTACTGAGGATATGCCCACAACCAAGGTACAGGCCCTTGACCAGAACCAAACCCAGGCCCCTTCAGTCCACAGGCCGACACTCTATCCACTGAGCCAAACCGGTTAGGGCTCTGTCACTTTCTTTGAGCAGTAATGAAATATAAAGTATTGCAACAGCCCTGGCCAGGTAGCTCAGTTGGTTGGAGCATCACCCCATACCCAGGGGGTCCTGGGTTCCATTCCTGGTCAGGACACATACCTAAGATTGCATGTTCAATCCCCGGTTGGGATGTGTACCAGAGGTAACCGATCACTGTTTCTCTCTCACATTATCTCTCTCTCCCTTCCTCTTGCTTTAAAAATCAATGAAAAAAACAAAATATTGCAAAAAAACCTTTTAGTTGAAATGCCAAAATATCTGCATCCAGATTTGTTATCTTTTTTAAAGTAAACCTGTTAGGGGGTAAAGTCCACAGATCATTTTGGGAACATTTTTTGAAGGACTTTCATGGTTTTTTCACTTTCCTCCACAGTGACAAAATGTCTTTTGAGAGCAAGTTTGATTTTTTTATAGTACTCACATATCACTTGGAGCTAAATTTGGCAGAAATGTAGTTGATCAAATTGAGAGCTTCTTTGAGAAATAAAGGGTAACTTTTGAAAAATGATTTTCTTTGGCTTTTAAAAATTTTTTAAGACTCTTCAAAAGGTAAGTTAATAGTTTCCTGAAATAATTGTTTTTAATGGATATCACTTACTTATATGGTATATTCTAAAAACATTGTTTATCAAACTTGTTATTTTATAGTCACTTCTCTTTTTGTTTTAAAATTAGGAATATAAATTATTTTCAACTAGGATAACAAAGAAATAGAGATGATCTATTTTATTCCTCACAGCATTAGTGTGTGTGTGTGTGTGTGTGTGTGTGTATGTATCTGATACTTTTTAATCCTAATTTTAAAACTGGATCCCCTGTAGGGGGCATGCAGGAGGCAGCTGATCAATGATTCTCATCATTGATGTTTTTATCTCTCTCTCCATTCCTCTCTGAAATCAGTAAAAATATATATTTTTTAAATTATATTTTACTGCTTTTTAAAGAGAGGAAGGGAGAGGGATAGAGAGGTAGAAACATCGATGAGAGAGAAACATCGAACAGCTGCCTCCTACTGGGGATGTGCTCGCAACCAAGGTGCATGCCCTTGACCGGAATCTAACCTGGGACCTTTCAGTCCGCAGGCCAATGCTCTATCCACTGAGCCAAGCGGTTAGGGCAGTAAAAATATATTTAAAAATAAATAAATCCATACAAGTGGATTTATATTTTTGCTGTTATCACATATTTCTATGTGTATATCTTTTGTTTTCTGGTTAGATTTATTCTCCTGACCATACCAGCAGTAGTTTTCCATCAAATCCATCAACACCAGTTGGATCACCCTCACCTCTCACAGGTAGGCTTTTGTTTTTATCTAACTACTTAATAACATGTAGGAGTAACTTGGAAATATTTCTAATTAATTTTTTAATAAAATCCAGTAAAATTTCATGAAAAAAATAGATTTTGAGAAAGTATGTAAACAGAACTTTTCTCTTGGGTTCATTTTTTGAGACTATTGAAATATTTGCTACTCTTGAATTTTTCATATCTTCTCTCATTCTTAAAATAATTTGTAATCTCTAAGGATAATTGTTTTAACAAGATAAAAATAAGGCTAGGCAATTGGATGAAGGCAAAATATGGAGAAGGAAATAAATCAAAAGTTTTCATAAGATAGCATAGAAAATAATCTATTTAAAAGTACATGTAACTTCTTTCTTCCTTGTTTGCTCCATTTCCCTATACCATGTGTGCTACTCAAAAAATGAATTTGACTCAAAAAATGAATAATTGTTTTTGCTAGATAATTTGTCTTTATTTTTAGGTTCAATAAGTTATTATTTCATAGATAACGTAAATAAATTCCTGGGGAAAATGTTGGGTTATTTTTGCTAAGGAAAAGAACTCTGTGAATGTAGATAAATATTGTTAGTGGAGTTAAATAAGTGGCTCAGATTTGCTGTATGTGTTTCTTTTTTCTCACATTAGCTTTAACAAGTTTCAGATATATCCTTCCTACAGTATAAATTTGTTGCGATACAAATGTTATTGTAAATAGGAATTTTTAGGTTTATTAGGAATAAATTAAATTATAGGAAAATGCTTAATATCTGTTAAGCTATAATTTAAAAACTTAAATTTTATTTTCTACCAGTATTTGGAGAAAAACTATGCTGAAAAAGAAAGGTATTAGTTCTGAGGAAAGCTATTAGGCTAGTCAAGCAAATGGGAAAAAATTGCCATATTCCTCCAACAGTTAACCTCAGAAATGATTCTCTTTTCCTGTTCAAGCCATTAGTTAAGTTCGTGTGGTTTTGTTGTTGTTGTTAAGCCTTTTTTGCATTGTACAGGATTTCTGAAAATCAGGGCTGTGGTGTATCCAGGCCCTGGCTATCACCTGTGCTGTGTGTGTTAGCCAGTGACTCTGCTCCGAGCATTCCGATGTGGAGATGATGAACTGCTGGCAGCTGCTTTCAGCTATTAGCAGGTTCTGCCACTTTCTCAGACACCATGGCTTCAGCTGTCTAGTAAAAGTTGAACAGCTGTTCCCCACATAGACTGGACTATGAAAGACCCATTGATTTAAAGTTGTTGTTTTACAGAGAGCTGAAATTACCGGAAGAATGATGTAACTTTAACCCTAATCACCCTCTTGGCAGAGTTTTACTGAAATTATCAGTATCATTTTTGCCAGAGCCTGTTTCACTTTCTCATCTGAGGTGCTACGTTAGCCCTTCCTATATATTTCCACTGCCTCTGTTCCACAGCCCCGTGAGATAGCTATAAAGGTGTCCTTTGCTTTTCATTAACACTGGCTAGGAACACAGGCAACAGAGGAGCTCAGCACCTATGAAGTGACATCAGTAAAGTGAAAAATCAGAGACTTAGACATTTTTCAAAAAAACGACAGACCGAAGTCGAATCTCACATTTCTCCCTCCATCTTTAGTTGATATTTAAAGGGTGGAGTCCTCTTTTCCCCTTAATTCAGCTGATTAATGAAAAATCTGTGGGCTGTTGAATTGTGTAATGAAGCTGTTACTAGGCTTTTAAATTAGTATTCTAACCAAAGAAAAATACTTTTGAAAGGGCAAACCGACAACTGATTTTATGCAGGTGTATCTCCCATCTCCTGTGTCTAGTGATTCCTTTTTATCACCACACACACGCACACGCGCACACGCACACACGCACACGCACACACCTTCTAAACAAAAAGAGGACTCTGGCAGCAAGATAGAAGAGAAGAGTGACAGTATCTATTAGAGTTGTCACTTGGGAAGACATTAATATTTGAGTTAAGTGAATGTGTTTACTAAGGAAACTTGGAAAGCAGACAAGCAAAACCATATTTTGACTTTCTTTATCTGCTTCTTGAATATAAGTGAATAAAAGTTTAATAATTTCAGTACTCAATGGCAATCTTCAGAAGATTCACAATGAAAATAAAGAGGAAAGAAAGGATTCCTCAGTTTTGGTTAGTTTAATCAATAAGATATTTATCTAAAGTAGGGTGCTCAAGATAAACTTCATGAAGAGAGTAGTATTTTAAAAGGAGGTGAATAGAAGTCTCTGGTTATAAAGAGAAAAGCATAACAAAGATGCAGATGTAAGGAAGTGTGCAACCTGCTCCTCCAGAGCCATTGAGATGACTGATTATGAACTCTTCATGTGTGGATGTGTGAGGAACTAAGATGGAAAGGTTGGCTGGGGCCAGATTGTGGAACACACAGCACTAAATGCTACCTTAAGGATTATCCAACCTTTCCCAAGCATATGGGAATCTCATGAATGTTTGAGTTTAGAGTGCAATTACAAAGGGAAACAACTAACAAAATAAGAAAATGCATGGTAAATGGTCTTAAGATTTTCTCTCAGCCACACAAAATGTTAGTATCAATTCTTTAAATTTATTAACCAATTTTATTAGGCAAAGTACTTGCTAAGTCCCACTCAGACGAAGAACAGATCAGAAACATTGAGTGAATTTTAGATTTAGTGATCAAAGACAGTCTTCCCTGATTTTCTAGCTGAGTAATTTGATGCTGTTGTCCTGGTCATCTAGCTAGCTTGTTATCTGGAAGTGGTCAATAAATTTTAATATCAAGTAGATTTATTATAACCTTGAATAAAAGCTAGCTCTTTGGGGTGCTCACTAAAAAGCCCAGGGCAGTTAGAGAAATTAACTAACTATATGAATAGTTGAAAACTTATGCCTATCTAATAAAAGGAAGTAGGAGCCCAAAACTTCAATAAGGGCATTATGCTAAGTGAAATAAGTCAGACAGAGGAAGATAAATACCATATGATTTCATTTATAAGTGGAATCTAAAAAAACAAAAATAAAATAAACACTGATACAGAGAACATATTGATGGTTGCCAGATTGGGGGAGGTAGGCAAAAAGGGTGAAGGGATCAAGATGTGCAAATTGCCAGCTATAAAAACAGTCATGGGGATGTAAAGTACATCATAGGGAATATAATCAATAATATTATAATAGCTACTAGAGGCCCAGTGCACGAATTTGTGCATGGGTGGGGTCCGGCCGGCCCAGCCCCAATCGGGCCAGATCAGGGCCAGGCCTGTTGGGAGGAGGAGATGGAGGGAGGTTGGCCGGCAGGCCCGCCCTAATCGGGGTCCAATCAGGGCGGAGCTGGTGTGGTGTGCAGCCGAAGGCTGTTGGCTGGCTGGCCCTGCCCCTGATTGGGGTGGTGGGGGCCCATCGGGGGTGAGGCCAGCCAGGGGGAGGGGCTGCAGGAGGTTGGTTTGGTTTGCTGGCCGCAGTGGACGTCATAGTGACTAGTCATTCCGGTCGTTACAGCGTTCCGGTCACTAGCTTTATATATCATTTCTTAAGTTATATAAATGTCTAATCACTATGTGTATACCTACAACTAATAATATTGTATGTCAACAGTAATTGAAAAATAAAAAATAATTTTTTAAAAACCTCTATGTATGTTACCACCAGATAACAGGTGACAGTGAAGGAAAGGGGGCAACATCCTAGTCTCTAGGACAGTGGTCGCTGACCAGTATCCGTGGACCACTGGTGGTCTGTGAAGTCTGGAAGATTGGCAACCGCTGCTCTAGGAAACCCCTGAGGTTTTCGGCCTTTGCACTTTTTTTTTCATATTTGTGCAGTGATGCTACAGTTGATGATTACAAGCTAAAGATACCAACATATTCTAAATTTAATCTATGTATTTTATTCACACACTAGTTTTTTTTTTAAAAAAAAAAAAGATGTCCAGAGTCAGAGGTATGCCAGCTAGCATTATGGTTTGTTCCCAGAATTTGAATTCCATTCACAACCCTAAAGGATTCATCCTTAGTTTAATAAGCCATCAATGGGCCAAAGTTGTAAAAGTCTATGTGTCTTTTTTCTTCACTGATTACACAATAGATCTACCATCAGGAAGAAATAATAATAATGTCCCATAGTCAAAAAACCTCTAGGCTCATGGAATGAGAGCTTTCATATCTTTGATTGGCCTTGTAAGACAGATTAACAACAAAACAAAAAGCAATGTGTGCATATGTCATAGTCAGGGATACAAAAATTAATTAATAGTACAGATCAGCAAGAATGAAGGTCCACTAATTCCCGTATCCACTAAACTTTCATGCCCCCCTTTGAGTTTTGCCAGCCGTAGGATTGACTTCTACTGAACTAACTCTAACTCTCCAGCCATCCCCTTTGTTACCAATAGCATGAAGTTTTAAAATGACCAAGTGGGTTCAAGGAGCTCTGACCATGAAATTTAACTTGGCATTTTTATGGAGTTCAGAAAGAGAATAGTGATTTTGTCATGTATTTTGTTTTAACCAGATATATCACAGTAGACAGCCCTATCTTTAATAAAAACAAAATAGGTTTGAATAGATGTGTACTTTTCTAATTTAACAAATTACAGTTTGGAGATAGACCTTAGCATAGTTTTTTCCTATAACGATTAAAAAAATAACGAATGTTGGTGATTTCTTTCCTGAGTAAATTTAGTGCACACATCTTACTGTTCAACACTAAGCTAGTGATGAAACAGAAAAATTGCATGTTTTGCAAAACAGATGTGTTCTAACAATTCTGAGGTGTTTAAACATAAAACTTGAATTAATATTCCACACAAATTAAGAAATGTGATGATCAGGCTCCTGTCACAGGCTGATCACCCAAGGGGGTTGGGAAAGATGGAGCAATATAATTGAAAATAAAATACTATAAACATTAAGGGAAACTATTTTTAAATAATTTAGGGTTCTTTTTAAAAATAGATTATGATTAACCTCTTATTTACATAAAAATTCATAATTCTCCACCAGTGCTTTGAAACTAAGGCACTTAATCAATAATAAAGTTTTGGTTGCTTGTTTTTATATGAATTGTTCATATAATCAGTTACTGGGTTTACTGGTTGCTAAATACTACTTGTTAATTAAAAAATCTATAAGCTTCTGTTTTAATGAGCAATTTTATTTATTTTTTAATATATTTTCATTGATTTCAGAGAGGAAGGAAGAGGGAGAGAGAGATAGAAACATCAGTAATGCGAGAGAATCATTGATCGGCTGCCTCCTGCATGCCCCCCACTGGGGATCAAGCCCGCAACCTGGGCATGTGCCCTTGGCTGGAATTGAACCTGGGGCCCTTTAGTCTGCAGGCTGACGCTCTATCCACTGAGCAAACTGGCTAGGGCAATGAGCAATTTTAAATTGACCTTATTTGTGTAGTTGGATTATGATTACATTTGTATGTCTAGTAGGAAGCAATTATTAGTCCTCAAAATAATTTGTAATTTGCTTACAAGTAAAGAAACAACAATGGTTATCTGATGAAGTATATAAAACATACACTTTTTCTTACAATTTTAGAATTTAAAATTTTTCTGTATGATCACAACAGTACACATATAATTAGTTATTAAGAATGTATGTATCCAACTTTTCAACTTGCAAAGCATATGTGATCAATGATAATGCAATTACTAGGTTATTCAGCTAAGGTGAAATATACAGATGTTTTTAGTTTCCTAAATGTGGCAAATTAACCTGCAACATTACAGACTCTAGTAGAACATAGTTTAAAATTAAGTTAGCAGTAAATGAGATAAATTAAGCAAACCTTAACTTTGCCAACTTCAGATTTCTTATGTAATTTGGGTTGTCGCTAAAGTTTTTATTAAGAACCAATCCTATATAATAAAGAGGTAATATGCAAATTAACCCTCACAAGATGGCTGCCTACAACCAGGCCAGCAGGGGCGTTAGTGAGGGACGACCAAACGACTGAACAGCGGCTTTTTGCATGGGGCGACCAGGCCAGCAAGGGGGCCGTGAGGGGTGACCAGGCCAGCACGGGGGGCAGTTGGGGGTGACCAGGCCAGGAAGAGGGGCAGTTGGGGGCAACTAGGCTGACAGTGGGGTGCAGTTGGGGCCAACCAGGCCGGCGGGGTGGGCAGTTAGGGGCTATCAGGCTGGCACGCAGAGGCAGTGAGGGGTGATCAGGCCGGCAGGTGTGGCAGTTAGGGGCACAACCAGGCAATAAGGGCAGTTAGAAGCTATGAGGCAGGCAGGCAGGTGAGCGATTAAGAGCCAGCAGTCCAGGATTGTGAGATGGTCCCGAATTGGAGAGGGTGCAGGTTGGGCTGAGGGCGTCCCCCTCCCCCATGCACGAATTTCATGCACCAGGCCTCTAGTAATATATATTTAATAGAATGGTCTGTTGTTTTATATAAATAACTTATTTTCAAATGCACAATCATGAAATAGTTAAGATTTTTGATCAGTTGTTCTTTTTCCTTTTAAAGTTGTTCGGTAAGACCATTAAAACTGTATTCTCGCCCTAGCCAGTTTTGCTCAGTGGATAGAGCATTAGCCTGAGAACTGAAAGGTCTCAGGTTCCATTCCGGTCAAGGGCACATGCCTGGGTTGTGGGCTCGATCCCCAGTGGGGGACTTGCAGGAGGCAGCAGATCCATGATTCTCTCTCATCCTGGATGTTTCTATCTCTCTCTCTCTCTCTCTCTCTCTCTCTCTCTCTCTCTCTCTCCCTCCCTCTTCCTTCCTCTCTGAAATCAATAAAAATATTTTTTTTAAAAAAAAACAAACTGTATTCTCCCCAACCTATGGATAAATTACTAGCTTTATTTTTTCTTAAATTTTTTTCCCTTTTTATTGCTTCTACTCAAAACTTACATCCTTTCTTATTTCCTGTCTTCAGTTTTTATTATATTGGTACTTTTCTAAAGTTGAAGAATAAACAAAATTTAAGGAAAATTTTATAATACTTCCAAATTAAATAATGTGCTTTTGGTATAAATCGTGTTGGGAAAGTTTTTAATAGATAATCCTAAGTGCATTTGCAGACATTTGAAATTGGTGCATTTGTGCATTATTAAAGGCACAAGTTAATATGACCCTTTAGAAAACAATTTAGCCTTATGAATTAGGGATCATAAATATATTTGTACCTTTTAATTTAGAATGCTACTTATCTTCAAGATATTTTCTCTACTTGCTATTCGTAATATAGTAATATTCATTTACTATTCATAATAGCCTATTGAAAGCAACCAAAATGTCCAGCAGTGAGATAAAGTGGTTAAGCAAATTATGATCTAGAGAATCAGATGAATATTAATGTAGTCAGTCATTAATAGCATTATTTTAAAGACTATGTAAAACCATGGGAGGGACAGAATTTTTTTTTAAATATTCTATTGATTTTTTACAGAGAGGAAAGAAGAGGGATAGAGAGTTAGAAACATTGATGAGAGAGAAACATCAATCAGCTGCCTCCTGTACACTTCCCTAATGGGGATGTGCCCGCAACCAAGGTACATGCCCTTGACCGGAATCGAACCTGGGCCCCTTGAGTCCGCAGGCCAATGCTCTATCCACTGAGCCAAACCGGTTAGAGCAGGGACAGAATTTTAAATTTGTATTCTTTAAGTACATTTTATGAAGATATGTTTGCATAGTGACAATCTGAAGAATATACAAACATAAAATAAAGTTATGTTTTAAAGTACTAGTATAGGATTTTTTTCCTCTTTGTTTTCTCAACTCCCTTCACTGTTGTATTAATAATGAAAAAAGGTTTTTTAATGTGTTGGGCTTACAAGAAGCCAAATACTATGCTGAAGGCTGAACAAAAATTTTCATATAAATTTATGTTTACCCCCTTGAGAACATTATCAAGAATACTGGAGCTAACCAAGGTGTGAGTATTTGGGATTTTGTTTTAACAGGTACTAGTCAGTGGCCTAGACCTGGAGGGCAAGCTCCTTCATCTCCAAGCTATGAAAACTCACTCCACTCCCTGGTAAGAGCCTCTTAGAAACATACAGGTCACTTTTATCTGATAGTATGCAGTTCTTTTTTATTTTATTTTTTTTAGTAAATCTTGAGTAACAATGAAAAAAAACAGTAGGATAGCATTACACACGAATTCTTTACTAACAAATGGCCTGATTTAATTGAACAATATAAGATACATTGGGTGTGCCTTTGCCATCTGTTCTTTGAGACATTAGGCTTCTGGTCTAACGACAGCTGGTGCTAGAATAATGTAATGGCATTTTTGTTTCTTTGAAAAATATAGGGCTTAATTTTTCTATACTTTTGCATTTATGTATAAGAGGAAACTTAAAAAAACACACACACACAGACCAAGTAAAAGCAAGAAAATTAGTCCAGTAATGGAAAATAGTTGTATTTAATGCTTTCTTTTATGATGTATAGTTTAGTACATTTCCATTAAAAATTTAAAATGTAATAGCCATTATTTTTGTCATGAAGATTATTATTTCCCATGTTTTGTTTCTTAAAAAAAAATGTCTTGTGTAAATTGTACAAGTAAAAATGTTATTTAACAAACAAATAAAGCAGTAGAATAAAGAAGCCTGTCTAGGTATTTAGCGTGAAGAATTTGTGGTTGAATGTTAACTACTGTTGCTTTTCTTTGCTTACCACAGAATTACAAAATATTATAAAAACAAAATAATGACTTGATGGAATGCAAATAGAAAAGTTATTTTTCTGTGACTAATAGAATATTTTAAATTAAAGGAAAGTTTTCTTCTCACATATTTTGAAGCATATATAAGCTATTTAGATGCTAACCTTATAACTTTGCTATTAAATTCCAGCCTTCTCATACCTTCATACAAGTAGATCTCACAGATCTTCGCGTTAACTTTACTAACATGTTATGCTGACGTGCACAGCAGCTATTTCCTCATCTCTTTTGGAGTTAATCTTAACCTGTGCTTTGCCTCCTGTTCTGTCTTGACTTTGCCAGAAAAATCGAGTTGAGCAGCAACTTCACGAGCATTTGCAAGATGCAATGTCCTTCTTAAAGGATGTCTGTGAGGTACTATTTCTTTTAGATGGTGCCTTTTTTCTGTTTCAGTTCGTTATAATTCCTATTATCCATTTAAAATCTTCAAGCCTGTACAGACTCCAAAGTCTTTTAAAACCAAACAATGACCATTTCTGTTTTTGTAACAGTGTGTAAGAGTAGACTTTTGTTCGCTGATGTTGTTGAGAATGATTCTTTTTAAAAGAGCTCTACTAGCATGTGCTTTTGATTTTTAAAAATTCTAATATGTTTGTGTATGGGGCATGTATGTATCCACAGACAGACTATCATTTCCTCAGTTTTGTGAAAGAGAATATTTGGATGTGTTCACTATTTCAGATAGGTATGCTTTATTCACTTAAAATCACAACTGAAACTTGATGGATTGGAGAGTGTGTGCCCAAATTGCCCTCATTTCAAAGATCAGTATTACAGTACCCGTTATCTTTTTTATCAGCTATAATTATCAGACAGTACTACAGTAGCATTCATCTTTTATAGAAATTAAAGAAGTAACTTCATGGTAGATTGGTAAATTGATTTTATAAAGCAGTGATTTATTTCTGAAGCTTTGTTAATTTAGTATAGTCTACTTTCTTTGATTATTGATTTGTAGTGCAGGTTTCACTTGCTGTCTTCCATATATCCCAAAGTAGGAAACATAGAAGTTTAATGAATTTAATAGCTACCAGTAGTAACCTCCATGTCTTTTTTCAATCACTCCAGCAATCTCGAATGGAGGATCGTTTAGACAGACTGGACGATGCTATCCATGTGCTGCGGAACCATGCTGTGGGACCTTCCACCAATTTGCCTGCCGGTCACAGTGATATACACAGTTTATTGGGACCATCCCACAATGCACCAATTGGGAGCATCAATTCAAGCTATGGTGGATCAAGCCTTGTTACAAGCAGTCGATCTGCTTCAATGGTAAAATAGTGCTTTTTTTTTTTTTTAAATAATAACTCCCAAAGCCTCTTGTCCTAAATGTTTTGGGGGGAGAGAGGCCTTTTTGAAGGGAAATAGAGTGGCTTTTGAGAATTTCCTTTACTGTCCTGGGCAGGGTCATTGGCTGAGCATTGGCCCTTAAAATCCTGCTATATCATGTGCAAAAAGCAGAAACTTTCTACAGGTATCATTTTAGCTTAAACTTGGATTTTTTTTCCAGATGCATATAATTGTTAGAAGAGTTTTTGCCCTGAAATGGTGTGTAGAAAGTCTGAATAGCAAAAGCAGTAAAGGAAGACTGGATTTCAGGGGTTCTGGTCTAGAAAATCTGTTTATTATAGTTTGGAACCAGCCTTTACTAGAAGAAGGAATGTGAAATTATTTGTACAGGTCCATATTTAAGTTTCATTCCCAAACAAAGAAAAAATGTGGGGGTAGTTTTAAAAATGGCTGTAATTTAAGTGACACTGAAAGGAAATAATTTTAGATTAATCCCCAAAGAAAAGAAAATAATTCAGTTCATCTTTTTTAAAATACGCTAATTCTTTAGAGGAAAAAAAAGTAAAATTCTATATCTATGCACATCACAAATTCTCTGTTGAATGTCTTACATTATTTTTTGAACCTGCTATTTAATTGATACCATGCATTTGCATGTTTATGACATGTTTTCTAAGATTCATTACATGGTGTGAAATATTCTCCTATGAACAGACTTCTAGCTATAAACCATATGATCAAGGCTAAAACTCACCTGTCATCAAAATAATTAGGTGCCCCAGATGCTGAAGGCTTGTGTTCTATGAAATAAGATTGTTTGCAGATTTTCACATTCACATGTCAGACAGCCATCAATGTTCATTTTGGAGCTGCTGAGGTAAACATCAACGAGGCAGCCTGGTTTCCTGAGAACTGTTTTCAGTAACATGGTGACATTAGATATAACTTTTTATATCTTAACAACCAGGTTGTTTTTTTTTGGGGGGGGGGGGATAATGTCATGATATCTTGAAATTCACTCTTCTTTAAAGTTAGTTTTTTATGCTATTGATAAGCTAATAAATGTGTGAACATTTATAAATTGTGAGACTCACAGAAATACTTATTTTGTTGAAATATTATCCTTATTTGGAAGGATGACTAGAAAGTCAATATATTCTAATTTCAACTTTATCTCTACTGCAACATTTGCAGTTTTTACTTTTCTCACCTCTTAATCATTTTTTAATTCTTCACTGTATATAGATTACTGTTTATATTCCAGATTATCTGCTATAATATTTAATATATCTGACTCTTCCCAATTAAAATGGGTGTGGCTATGTTCCAATAAAAGTTTATTTCAAAAAACGGGTTCCTTTATTTGTACAAAATAGAACCTGTGTGGGGTTTTTTGTTTTGCTTTTGGGTTTTTTGTTTGTTTGTTTGTTAATCTGCACCTGAGGATTTTTTTCCATTGACTTTTAGAGTAAAAGGGGAGGAGGGGAGAGAGAGAGAAAGAAACTCAACAGGGTGGGGGATTGAACCTGCAACCCAGGCTTGTGCCCTTGACCAGGAATTGAACCTTCGGTGAGTAGACCGATGCTCTAATCACTGAGCCACGAAGGCCAGGGCTAGAAGGTAGTTTTTACCAACTTTTTGTTGGTTTGTTTGTTTTTTGTTTTAGTATTTATCAACTTTGGATTGAGTTGGGAGGGGATTATTTTAAATCCATTCCTTCAAAGCCATCTAGAAACCTAGTACATTTTAAAAGGATGTGTACTAATAAAGGGAAAATTGTTTCATTAGATATTGCCCTGAAGCTTTTAATTAAGAAAGTAGCCACATATATCCTCTAGGAATATGCTGCCTACTTCAGAGCATAAACAAAAGGGCTGCCAGAGATATTCTCTAAAAAGGAAAAAATCCAAAGGAATCAAGAAAAAAAGAGTTTTCTATAACATGTGAAGAGTGTGGCTTAGTCTGAGCAGCAGCATTACTACCACAACAACTAAGCCAAGGTATTGCTTAATGTGTCCATCAAGGTCTTCCCTTCAGTGCTGATAACTTTCTGAGAGGACACAGAGCTGGCGAAAATCTGTTAGACATCAACTATATCCTCCCCATTCAGACACAATCACTAGTACAGGTGGAGATGTAGATGTTTTTGCCAGGCTTACCCTCAAAATATAAAGTGTTAACTTATAAAATCTGACACTGTCAGGTGAGTCAATATTTCACCCATTCTCCTGAAATGAACTTTTTAGCTGTGAATCCTCAGTTCTCAGTTTCAACAAAACGGCCAAAGGATAAAATAAAATAAAGGTCAGTCTGCCGGTGACTCTCCCAACTAAGTCTTAGTCATACTATTGAGTAAAACTCTTTTTGTTTTTTTTTTAATTATATTTTATTATTATTATTGACATTATTACAGATGTATCCCCCATCCTCCCCCTCTCCGACCCCCTCCACCCAAGGAGGAAGACTCTTATCCTAGTGTCTCTATCCATGTCTGAGGATTTCCATCAGAACCCACCTATATGAATTCAACTCTTTTCATATTCTCGGAGGGTGTGTGATTTGGGGAGACATATTGTTGTAACTATTGACAGCCATCTCTAAGAATTATCTCCTGCTTTTATTCCATATATTGTAACTAAAAAATGACACAGTTTTACATTCTGGCATTACTTTTTTTGTCTTATTTAACTCTCTGGTAGTTTATATACTTTTCCTCTGTGTGATCATAAATTAGTATTTATTTTAGGCTACTAAAAATGGAGGTCATGTGGCCAAAATTACAAAGTAACCACAGAAGTATCAGTTTATCAGCAATTCTATATCGCCCGTAGAATTTGTGAGGTTGCTACTCAAAAATATTTAATTTTCATCATTCTATTCATTTCCTGCAGAGATAGAATTATTTTAATAAGCATAAATACTATTTCAGTAACTCTACAGAACATTCAGATAATATTTTTGTTGTAATGGATTTTTGTTCTAATGGGCATTTATTGTAAATCATCCTAATTGCAGGTTTTAAATATATTGCTTTTTTCCTAGAATTTAGAAGAAAGTCAGCATACTTTCCCTATAAGATAGTAAATATTTTCAGTTTTGTAAGCTATATGGTCTCTGTCACAGCTACTTAACTCTGACTTCGTAACATAAAAGTGAAGTCATAGATATTATGAAAACAAATGGGTGTGGCTGTGTTTCAGTAAAACTTTATTTACAAAAAAGTGTTCCTTTATTTACTAAAAAAATAAAACAAAACAAAAAACAGACCAGACTTGGCCTACTGGCCATACTTTCCCAATACCCAATGTAGAACATAAATTATCTTCCCAGTTCAGGAAACGAGGGTTAGCAAGCTTTTTTTTTTTTTAGCCTGAAACTTTTTGCTTATATTGTTTTATTTTATTTTTTAACCTGACTTTATTGATTTTAGAGAGGGAGAGAGAGAAACATCAATGTGAGAAAGAAACATCGATTGGTTGCGTCCTGTACATGCCTTTACCAGGGACTGAAGCCACAACCTGGGCATGTGCCCTGACCAGGAATCGAACTGGTGACTTCCTGATTCATAGGTCGACACTCAACCACTGAGCAACACTCACCAGGCTGCTTATATTGTTTTAATGAGTAGTTTGGGAGTTGTATTGAAGCAGAGTATTTGAGGTGAGCCAGCCTGTACTGGGAGTGGAAGAATAAGAGTTGATTGCAGGATAAATGTGGTAGAGGGAGCTCAACTCCCAGTCTGCAATGCTATCAAGATTACTTGTGGTGTAGCCCTGGCTGGGTGGCTCAATTGGTTGGAGTGTCATCCCATACACTAAAGGTTGCGGGTTTAATTCCTGGTCAGGGCACATACTTAGGTTTTGGGTTCAGTGCCCGGTCAGGTCATGTGCAGAAGGCTACCAACCATGTTTCTCTCTCACAGACTAAAAATAAAAAATGTTAAAAAAAAATAAAAAGATTACTTGTGTTGTTAAAGCTACATGGACAGGTCAACCAGAATAGTGTCCTTGGTCAAGGAGATAGCCTTGTTGCCGAGACCCTTTCCTTACATTGTCTTTAGTTATAACAAGGTTGTGTCAGTAAGGTCATCTACAGCTGATAGTATTGATTTGTAGATCAGTCTTACTGTATTTTTTTTTTTAGGGTTTTACATAGATAGATTTTTTTTAATTTTATTATTTATTACAAAGGGTATTACATATGTGTCCATTTTTTCCCCCCGCCCAAGACAGTCCCCTAGCCCCCCCCATCCCCCAGTGTCTTTGGCTTATTTCACTTAGCATAATGCTCTCCAGTTCCATCCATGCCGTTGCAAATGGTAAGAGTTCCTTCCTTTTTAGAGCAGCATAGTATTCCATCGTGTAGATGTACCACAGTTTTCTAATCCATTCATCTACTGATGGGCACTAAGGCTGTTTCCAGATCTTAGCTATGGTGAATTGTGCTGCTATGAACATAGGGGTGCATATATCCTTTCTGATTGGTGTTTCTGGTTTCTTGGGATATATTCCTAGAAGTGGGATCACAGGGTCAAATGGGAGTTCCCCCCTTTTACCCCCCTTTGCCCATCTCCACCCATCCCGACCTCCCCCTCCCTTAGCCTTCACCAAATTATTATCCATCTTACAGAAGAGATAATTGCCTGGGGTTTTTTTTCAGTTGTTCCAGAATAAGATTTTTATACCTCACACCAAGGAGATAAGACTACCACCTGAGAAAAATATATATTAATAGGACTTAATGTCAAAAGACTTCATTTTGACTGTTGTTTCTTTTAACCGACTATACTTGATTATATCAAAGTTGAGAATTAAGTGAGGTTTCACTACAGACAGCTTTTTAACATATTTTGGCTATCTAATATACACACAAAATTGAATTTCCTGAAAGATTATTATATTGGAAAAAGAAACTAGGAAATGGATATATTTAGAGTAACCAGCCTGGCATAGTTTTAATATTTGCTCTTATTTTTTTAATGGGGTTAACATTTTCATTTACTTAATTTTCTATTCCCTTTTTGTATTTTTTTATTACTTCTCCATATTTGTTTAATGCAAGTATAAAATTAAGACTTTCCTTCAGGCACTCTTATTGGGATGTGATTGATTGATATATTTAAATTTTAAGGCACAAAAATCAAGGTTTTTAGAACTATTAAAATGTCAGCATTGGACTTTAGTTTTGCTCCCATTTATTTAGTGTAAGAATAAACTCTTGGATTAAACTACTGACAGAAAACAATGCTTGTATTAAGTAGAAAACTAAAAAGGAGTAGAATCATTAATTTCATTTGGCATTACAAAGAGGTTTCCACAATATAAAGTTATTGTACATCACATCTGTTTATGGCTGTGATATCTAAAATACTGAGGCCCATTGAGATAGATCCATGATAGCATTTTATCTTTCACACAAAGTACTCAATTATTCCTCAGTGATTTCAACTTCAAACCAAACTAAGATTAGGAGCTTTTTGTATTAATGGAAGCTTGGTGCAAATCTTAAAAAGTTCCTTATTTATGACGTTGGATAAAATTCCATCCATGAGGTCTTTTGATTTTTATGTTATAAGTCTTGGGCAAATTTAATCCAAGCATTTCTTTTTTTCTTCCTTTCCTTTTTTTTTTTTTCCTTAATGCGTGGGGTTTTTGTTGTTTAAGCTGTGGTTGGAGATCTCCGGTATTTTTCTTTTTTTAAAGTTGCTTTGGGTTTGTTGTTTAAGCTGTGGTTGGAGATCTGTGGTATTTGTTTTCTGAGAACAGAGTAAATAACATTAACTCATGAAATTTAAAGCCACTTTATATGATTTAAAAATATAAATCGTGTCTGTTTTTGAAGTCCTAAAGCAGTTAGAGAGACTGTTTTTTCTAAATTCTAAAATACTTAAGATTAAGTTGTTAAAGACTGAGGCAAATAAGATAATATTTTGTTTAAAATCAGCATTTTTGTCATCCAAATAAATTTGGTGTCATTTTAACTTTATATTTAAATAGTATTTAGTTTTATTGGTATAAATTTGTATACTGTAACAATTGTTTGTCTAGGTTTCAACTGAATTCAAGGAGTTTATTTTTAACTGTATTTTACTTGTTGTAACCTATTTTTTCTCAAGTGGGCAATTTTTTAAAAATTTATTTTTATTAAGACCACATTATAGTGTTTTTAAGGATTTTGATACCATTTTTTTAATTTAAAATTGTTCAAAATGGCAGCATTTCTTAAAGTTTAGAAATCATACAGGTTTGTCCTAACTGGTTTGGCTCAGTGGACAGAGCGTTGGCCTGCAGACTGAAGGGTCCCAGGTTAAATTCTGGTCAAGGGCATGTACCTTGGTTGCAGGCACATCCCTAGTAGGAGGTGTGCAGGAGGCAGCTGATCGATGTTTCTTTCTCATTGATGTTTCTAATTCTCTATCCCTCTCCCTTCCTCTCTGTAAAAAATCAATAAAATATATTTTTTTAAAAGATCATACAGGTTCTATATTACGGAAGTATCATTAAAAGGAACCATAACAAATGGAATTCTGCGATTTCTAGCATAAATCCCCTCATTAGGTAAAACAAAATGTATACAATACATAAAGATCCTTTCATCAGTCTGTAGATTAGTACTGATTAATTTAAATCATTAGTGTGGAGTGAACAGTACAAATTATAATAGAATTCAGAATCAGAGGGGAATTCATTCATACTGAGTTCTTTTTCAGTCTGTCCCTTAATTCACAAGACCCTTATTCATCAACTAATTAGATTTAACATTTCTCCATCGTGGGTGCTAAAGCCTTTGGCCAAATGAAATGAAAACAGGTTTCTTGAAGGGTGCTTCCACCAAAGTAAGGCCAGGCACAGATTGTGAAGATTCAGATTCAGGAGAATGTTATTTAATGGGATGGGCTTTTTATTCTGACATGGAGCTCTTCATAATAATAGAAATTTTGAGCATAGCAGGCCTAAGGGTTTGCCTTCCCCTGCTACTCCCCGTAGAAGCAGTCTGTCAGCTGTATGCTAACGAGATGAACAATTAAACAGGGTCCTATCTGGCTGGCCTCACAGCTCTGTGTCAGACAAAGAACTGTTTATGCACCTTTTGTATGTGTGTAGACATAGCCACATGAATGGGTAACTGCAGATTAAAGGGAGGATATGGGAGCCAAGGTGAGCAAGGGTTAAAGAGAACTATAAGAATTGTAAAAGTCAAATTCTCCAGAAAATATATGAGGGCCATTTGTAAGGGGAATCAAGTTACAAAGAAAAAGTTCCTGCTAACTTCATTAACATGGAAAACTCCAGACTTCAAGTGTTTTGCTGGTCTGAGGCTAATTTTTAAAGCTTTGATTTTTTTTCTTTTGGAAGCCAATGATGTAGGTTGGTGTGAGAAAATAGTTTATAGTACTCCATAGAGACAAAAATATTTGCTGGCATTTATATCCCAAAACAAATCAAGCAACCTTTCCGGTTTTCCTTCAAGGAAAGGCAAACTCAATAAGATTTATTGTTTAGCTCATCCTTTGTCGGCCAAACCTTTCATCAGAAAGGAGGTGATAGAACATTTTATTAGTAGAGATTCAGAAAATCAAAGAATTATTATAATAATGAAATAAAAAGAAATAATAAGTTAGCAGATGCACCATCACTCAAATGAGTGAAAATTTAGTTTGTTACTGTCCAACCATTACTGTCTTACAGAGCTATAAAGTGCATTTCACATGTAGTAAATTTACATGTTTAAATTTTTTAATTTTTATATATGAGAACCACTATTTCCAATAACTCCAGGCAATAAACCTCTTTAATTAAAGGTTTAATCTTTTAATTGACAAGTCTGCTACTGTTCTAATAAAGCAGGGGTCCTCAAACTTTTTACACAGGGGGCCAGTTCACTGTCCCTCAGACCATTGGAGGGCCAGACTATAGTTTAAAAAAAAACTATGAACAAATTCCTATGCATACTGTACATATCTTATTTTGAAGTTAAAAAACGGGAACAAATACAATATTTGTGTTTATATGTGGCCCGCAGGCTGTAGTTTGAGGACCCCTGTAATAAAGCTTCATTTATAACCAGTTTTTCTAAAAATACTGCAGTAGCCAAATATTTGGTAGTGCTTGCACGCCTTAACTTCCCATTTCAGGTTAATTGTGACTTGTATAAGTTTGGTTAAAACAGGGAATAAAAATATATGACATTTTTGTATTGTCTTTTGCTCTTTAAAAATGTTTGAGGGCAGCCATTTAGACAAAGAAAAAACAAGACACTATCTGTTTGTGTAAGGAAAGGGCATGCCAGAGTATAAATAAATATTACTTGGAATCTAGCAATATTTTCTTAAATGCAAATTCATGCACACTTTACAGGGTGAGGCAAAGTAGGTTTACAGTTGCTCGTGTGGAAAATAACACAATAATCCTATATAATAAAAGCCTAACATGCTAAGTGTCCGGTCGGCCAGTTGGCCGTTCAACCAATCAAAGTGTAATATGCTAATGATATGTTAAGGCTGTTCAACTGCTCACTATGACGTGCAACTGACCACCAAGGGGCAGACAGTTGACCTATTGACCAGTCACTATGATGTGCACTGACCACCAGGGGGCAGACACTCCGCCCGGTAGGTTAACTTGCTGCTGGGGTCCGACCGATCAGGACTGAGCGAGATGGGCCAGACATGCCCTGGAGCCCTCCCACAGTCCCTACCCAGCTGGTCAACCTCCCAAGTCCCTCCCTGGCCCTGATTGTGCACCAGTAGGGTCCCTTGGCCTGGCCTGCACCCTCTCACAATCCAGGACCCCTCGGGGGATGTCGGAGAGCCTGTGTCAGGCCAATTCCACAGGCCAGGCCAAAGAACCCTACTGGTGCATGAATTTGTGCACCGGGCCTCTAGTTAATAAATAAACAAGAATAGACTGTGTTTTGCATACTCACAACTATAAGCCTACCTTTGCTCCACCCTGTATTTAGATAGCATTTGGATAAGGTTTTCAGATCAATTTAGAGAGGGTTATTGACAGGTCTGATTATGTGTAGTGCTTTATGGCTTCCTGAGTACTTTGTCTCTATTAGCTCATCTACACTAATAAAAGAGAAACATGCAAATTGGTCATCACTGCTACACCCACCAGTCAATCAGGATGAGTATGCAAATTAACCCAACAAAGATGGCGGGTTAATTTGCATATGCAAGAGCAGAGCGAAGACTGAAGGCTCCAGCCCCATGAAAGACTGAAGAGGACTGAAGTCTGAAGGGGCTTGGCTTCTCCACTGCAGCCCGACCAAAGGCCTGGGTCCCGGGTGCCGGAGGAAAACCGGTGCTGGCAGCCAGGGGAAGGAAGGCCTATTGCACGAATCTTCGTGCAACGGGCCTCTAGTTTGCTATAATCCTGTGGGATGTTAAATTGAGGTTGCAATTTTCTAATGAAACTTTTAAAAATAAATTTAAACTATTATGTCATTTGAAATCCAAAATCCAGAAAAGTGGCATTCAAGAAAAGTGGCTAAATTCAAATGAGTCCTATTGTTTTCCCTAATAAACCCACTAAAAGAATTTAAACAATTATTGTCCCTGAACTGTCTTGATTTCTTTTTTTAACTTTAGGTTGGAACTCATCGAGAAGACTCTGTCAGTCTCAATGGCAATCATTCAGTCCTGTCTAGCACAGTCACTGCTTCAAGCACAGACTTGAACCATAAAACACAAGAAAATTATAGAGGTAACTGTATTGTTGGGTTTTCGTAATAATACAAAGATTGCGTTTGGAGCAGTCACCTTTCTCATAGGCAGATTCATATCTGTGACTCAAAAGTCATCTTAGGTGGGAGAAATCCAAACAGAAGTGCTAGTGAAGGTTCCATTCGGCCCATTTGGTAAATTATAGAACTTATGGATAGAACCACATGCAAAGTATTGTTCAGTTTTTACCTGTCTTTTTCTTACCTGCTCTTGATTCTGTTGTGTCTGTCTTCCTTAATCACTTCCCCTCATGACTGAGTCTTCATGGTCCCTAGAGGCAGTGGGAAAGATATGTCTGAGTATGTAGAGAGCTCTGAATAATAGGAGCTGTTGTTCAGAAACAGTTCAGTTGTAGCCATAGTTCTGTTAAAAAGCAAACTGGTAAATGTTATAATAGAGCTTACAAATAAGTACAAATATATAGCTAATATTAAGAATACCAAAGTAAAGTTCTCCCAGTTATATTTAACCATGACACCTATTTTATTGTGTTTATCCAGGAAAGTGTTAAACTTATTTCCTTTTCCTTGGCAGAATCTTAGAAGTCAGTGTCTAAAACTCCATCAAATTTATCATAACCTTGTTCATTTTTTAAATAGTGCCTAAAACTGATAATTATACAGATCATCAAAGCCAGGCTTGTTCTTCTAAATACAGATGTTTTAAAAAAATCCTTTTCTCTTAAGATTTGTGGACATGCTCTTTCCAGCTCTAAATAGTGTACTTCCCTACATCTTCAGATTTCCCTCATAGCCCTCTGACAACTAAGAGTATTTACCATCTAGACAGTGCTTTACTGTCTTAGTTCTAATTCATGAGTCTGGACATTTGTTTCTTTGACTTTTTGTTAGGTGGCTTGCAAAGTCAGTCTGGAACTGTTGTTCCAGCAGAAATCAAGACTGAAAACAAAGAGAAAGATGAAAACCTTCATGAACCTCCCTCATCAGATGACATGAAATCAGATGATGAATCCTCCCAAAAAGATATCAAGGTTTCATCTAGAGGCAGAACAAGGTATTTATTAACATTTAGGTGTTAAATTTCACTAATTTGCCATGGGTAAAAGTATTGGGAAATTGAAGGGTGTTATGCATTTATTAAGTGTCAGCTATTAAGTGTCAGCTATGTTCTAACTGCTGCAGTGTTGGGACTTTATGTATGTTATCTCATTTAATCCTTATTGCACCGCTAGAAGGAAATCATACGAAGCTGACTCAAAAATTATGTGTTCTATTATACCACATTATATTAGGGTCTACTTATAAAAAAAGAATTACATTTCTCCCCACAGTGCTTGTAAGGGGAGTCTGTAGTCTGTAAGACAATTAGAGGACAAAATAGCTAAAACAAATTAAATTGTGCAGTATAGCCATTTAGATACAGTTCATCAATAAATATCTGAACATAGTAATTTAAGGCTAAATATATGGTAAGACTCTGTTGTATGATTTAAAGCCAAGAGTTGGCAAATTATAGCCCATGGACCAAATCCAGCCCACTGCCTATTTTTATTTTTTGTTCTTTTACAGAATGTGTTTCGTTTTTTTTCCAATCCCCACCCAAGGATATGCTTTTGGTTTTTTAAATTTATTTGAGAGAGATAGAAAAACAATCTGTTGCCTTTCACACACTCCCCAATCCGGGGATTGAACCCGCAGCCTGGGCATGTGCCCTGACTGGGAATCGAACCCACCACCCTTTGTTATACAGGACGATGCTCCAGTCAACCAATACATACCTGCCAGAGCTGCCTGTTTTTACAAAAAATGTTTTATTAGAACACTTTCAAACCTTATTTATTTACATACTGGAGGCCCGGTGCACGAAATTCATGCACTTGGGGGGGGCTCCCTCAGCCTGGCCTGCACCCTCTCACAGCCTGGGAGCCCTCAGGGGATGTCCAACTGGCAGCCATCAGTCGAACATCCTTAGTGCTGCTACCACTGCTGCACTCACCAGCTGTGAGCCTGGCTTCTGGCTGAGCGGTACTCCCCGCTGTGGGAGTACACTGATCACCAGGGGGCAGCTCCTGCGTTGAGTGTCTGCCCCCTGGTGGTCAGTGAGTGTCATAGTGACCGGTCGTTCTGCTGTTTGGTCTATTTGCATATTAGCCTTTTAATATATAGGATTGTCTGTGGCTGCTTTTGCATTAAAGTAATAGCAGTTTTGAGTCATTGGCAAAAGAAAGCAATGGCCCACAAAGCTGAAAATATTTACTAACTGGCCCTTTATAGAAAAAGTTTGCCAACTCATGGTTTAAACATTGATTGGAGAAGAGTATGGATAAGGAAGTATTATTCTAAATAGGCTGATGTTGAGGAAGGTTTTCCAGAAATTTGACTTGACCCTGCTTTGAAGTATGGAGATTGACACATAATATGTTAGTTTCAAATGATTTCCAGATTCTTCCCTCAGATTTTTTTTATAGTTATATATTAAAACTAGATGACTTGATATATTTGTGGTCCATCCTATTTCTTGGTATATACCCACTTATCAATATGTATATATCACATAGATATCTATTATTAACATGTTCTTTGTATTAAATTATGGCACAAAGGAGATTACAGCAAGTGTGGTAGATATAACTGAAAAGCCAGCATGGTCCTTCCTGTATTCACATACTTAAAAGGTGTCCTTTTGTCTTTGACATTCTCACTGTTTTCAACACTTAAACATTTTTCTTGGGAAAAATTAAATCTTAAGATACTAATGCTATTATTTTAATATGCATTGAACTCACTTGTGTAGAGACATGAAGAAGTGAAGACTGGGTCATGGAATCTATAGACCGCTCCTTGGAGGCATCTTAATTCTTCCACAGTTTTATTATTCAAATAGAATTTTAAGGGAAAAAATTGTATGTTTCCTCTTCATCTTCTCATCTTATAGATCAGAGGTCTGCAAAGTTTCTGTGTAAATGGCCAGATAAATCAATATGTTCAGCTTTGTGGGCCATATGGTCTCTGTTGCAACTACTCAATTCTGCCATTGTAGCAGAAGAGCAGCCATAGACAATATATCAACAAATGGGCTGGCTCTTCCAATAAAATTTCATTTACAAAAATAGATAGCCAGCTGCTGGGTCATAGTTTACTGAACCCAGTTATAGTTCATCAGAAATTGAGAGGCAGTATAATAGGTTAATAATAACAATACTTAGTAATTAGCAATAGTTAATAGATTAATAATATGTCCTTTGTACAAAGTAAGGCTAGCCTGGGTTTTACTCATGGCTCCATCCTATACTTGCCAGTGACCTTGGGCAAGTCATTAAAGCTCTCTGAGCTAGAATCCTTGTGGCAATAAACTGAAAACGATGCACATAAAGCCCTTTGCACACTGTCTCACGGGCAGCAAGCACTCATTAAATGTACTAGAGTGACTGTTAAGATGATGGTGATGCCTGGTGTGTGGTATCAGTTTGCTTCCATTGAGCACTGACCCAGGTTCTTGTCGTCACACTGCCACTAATTGGCTTTGTGATCCTAGGGAGATAACTGATTGCTGTGGATCTTGCAGTGGTTTTCAATCCTGGTGCACAGGCTCCAGAAACATTTTAGCAGTACAAGCTCACTGAATCAGTATGGGGTAGTGGACCTTTTAAAGCTTTATTTTTTTAAGTGTTCCTAAAGATTCTGATAAATGGCCACATTTGGAAATCTTTGGGGTAGGTGATCTGTCAAGGCCCCTTTTCAGTCCAAGAGCTAGTGTTTTTCTATTAAAAGAAGAATACTTTTATTATATAAAAGTATTATGTAATATTTGACAATTAGCTTATAAGAATCTATTGTGTACTTCTTTATTACAGTACTCAGCATATTAGAAAAGAGGGGGAAACATCTGTTCTTTGTGCACATCATGTTAAGGATCTGAGAGTCTCTGCTCAATAATTTATTTCTGAAATATACGTAGAATTTTCTAGAATTTATTCCACAGCATCTCCCTCAAATGTTTTTTTCTGATATCTTAATGCATTTTTATTACAAAAATTTGGAAAATACAGAACAGTGTACAAAAAAAATCACAAGAAACTCTACCACCCAGAATCAACTACTGTCTACTTTTTAAGGAATATCTCTTTTCCCATAAATATAGTTTAAATTTGAATTAAACTGGAAATAATTTGTATAATGTCAACTTTTTTACATTTAACAGTGTATTTTTAACTTTTTCATCTATTCTTAAGTGTTTCCTGCAAAATGGAAGAATATTTTTACCACCCCAAACAGTTTCCACATGCCCCTTTGTAATCCGCACCCACTCCCATCCCCTAACAACCATTGATCTGCTTTCCATTACCATAGTTTTTTTCTGGAAGTTCATGTAAATAGACTCATACAGAATGTAGTCTTCTGTGTCTGGCATCTTTTACTGAGTGTGATCTGCAGCTTGATTTTTTTAGAGGATGTATTGTAGGCCATTGTCTGGATGTATGAGATTTATCCAACCCACCTCCTATTATTGGCCTCCAGTGTGTCACTAATATAATAGTTCTGTGATCAACTTTCTTTCCATAAATTTCTATGTACATCTCTAATTATATCCATAGGATGAATTTCTAAAGTTAGAATTGGTGATTAAGAGGTAATGAATATTTTAAGGCTTTGGGTTTTTATTTTGCCAATTTGTCCTTCAAAAATATTGTTTCAGTTTCCCTTGTTTTTAAAAATTTTTTATCCTCACCTGAGGATATGTTTACTGATGTGAGAGAGAAACATTGATCAGTTGCCTCCTGTATGCGCCCTGACCAGGAATTGTACTGATGCTCCAACCTCCTGAGCCACCCAGCCAGGTTTTTAATTATCACTACTGATTATATTTGTCTCTGGAATAAAAAATAGTGATTTTCTGAGATACTTCTCTCACTCTGTGCCTTCAAGCTTTTTCCTCTTTACCAGGTGACTGCCAGCATCTATTTAAGAGTATAGGTCACGCAAATTAAGGCACTAGCGAACCAGGACAGTGCTTCCCAAACTTTAATGTACATATAAATCAACTTGGGATCTTCTTAAAATGCAGATTTCTATGTTTTTAACAAGCTCCAGTAATGTTCATGCTGCTGATCACATTTTGAGTGGCAGAGTGCCTAGAATATTATGTAGTCATTCAGATTATACTTACGAAGAATTTCACTAGCATGGAGAAGTCTTCAAGCTGTACTATGCAATGGAAATGCATTTTTTAATGTACAGCGTGGGGCAAAATAGGTTTACAGTTGTTTGTATGGAAAATAATACAATCATTAATAAATAATAATACAAGAATAATCTCTTTTACATATTCACAACTGTAAACCTACTTTTGCCTATCCTGTTTGTGGTATCATTTGAATTGTATTTGAAGAAAGACTGGAAAGAAATAGATATTCATGTGAAATGTAACTATTACTACTGTTTGGTAAAATTTATAGGTAATTTTTTTGCATCTTTATACTTTACTAGAGGACCGGGGCACAAAAATTTGTGCACTCAGGGGGAAGTGGAGCGGAGGGTCCCTCAGTTTGGCCTCTGCCCTCTCACAGTCTGGGCCCCCTCGGGAGGTAATGACCTGCTGGCTTAGGCCTGCTCCCAGGTGGCAGAGGGCAGGCCCAATCCCTAGGTGCAGCCCCTGGTCGGGCTCAGAGCAGGGTTGATTGGGGAGTTGGGGCGCCGCCTCCTAT